CGTGGAGACTTTTTTGTTTTTGTAATGGCGTTTTTGTAATTTTTAGGTATTTGTTTAATTGTTTGTTTAATTGTTTGATTGTTCGCAGAAATTAGAGAAATCTCAATCATAATTTACCTTGTGAAGACAAGGAACAACTAACCTCGAGAAAAGCAGCCAAAAACAGTGAAATTAGGGAGAAAATGGCTAAACCAGGCTGGAAACAGCTGATCGCCGCGGTCGTGACGCGCCGCAGCCGCGTCGCAACCTTTTGGCCGCCTATCAAGTGCCCAGATGATGACTGTACAACGGAGAACGTTATACGCCATGTTAGCTATGCCCTCCCCATTGCGGATGTGGGACGTATGCGCATCTTCATAGATCACCACTTGTTAACCTCTTGTTACAAGTACATGTGACTGTTCGGCTTGGAGGGGTCTTCCGCGCTTTCGGTAGTTCCTTTTGTTATTTCATGTTGAATAACACCAAAGCAAGACCAGCGGACTTCTGTGAAGCTGCGAAATCATGTGGTGAGCCACGCCTCAGGAATTCGTTGGTCTTTACAAGGTGTACAAGCTTGACTTTGAATATCATTCGCCTGCCCCCACCAAGCAGAACTGTGCGTGTACAGCCACTATTATTACTTGTCATAAAATCCGTCATCCTCATGGCTAATTTTACTGATCTCTGCCTTGCATTCAAAACCCTTTTTTCATATTTTGCCACGGGAACCCACGGGACAGCGTGCCGCTGGTGACGCTGGTGAAGCTAGATCGATATGCATCCTCTCTTCGGCACTGCCGCTGGCGTACGCTGGAAGCGCTACGCTACGCTGCCGCAAAGTATAAACGCAGCCTTATGAGCCACCCACGGGAACATGCTCTTACTCGTCTACTAGTTGCTGTGAAGCTGATTTCATTGTTTTCAGAATAAACATCTTATAAATAGCAATCAAAAATGACGGGTTTTGCTATGAATATGTATCTATATTTAGCTGAAGGTGAGTGAAATCATATTCTCGGGGAATCATTTGGAAATCGCTTTCTATTAGGCGACGGCGGACATTCTCCATGCTTTATCCAAAACAGTGGCCCAATTACCTCAAAGTACAACATGGAGCTCATAAAAAGCCCCATCCAAATTCCATCCACGGTTGCGGACTGAAACTAGCTCTCTGCTAAAACTGCGGAAATCGATGAATTTTGGGAAGGAGTCGCTAGGCGTGTTTTTGCGTACCATTGGTGTACGGAAGAGAAAGCAGTATTTGATGCGTTTTGAACTTCACAGGTACTGAATGGATATAGCTCTCTTCCCCAAGGTATTCAGCTGAGGTTCGATGGGAACCTCATGAAAATACCCCCTGAATTTAACTCCAATAGCGGGCTGGAGGAGGGCTTTCAGCTGCAATTCCGGCAGGCGACTATTTCATAGATGGACTCTACAAAACCAGCTGGCTTCTCTTGAATAGCCGTTGTTGATCAAAGAAGGCAGTAAAGAGGAAGTTCGCAAAACGTCACTAGTAGGCAATGACAGTGGTTCTCCTCCTTGAAGTGACTAGTCTCGGATACGAGAAGAACCTCAGCAGAATACTCCTCCGAGTGAAGTAATGGATTAGAATCGGGCTCTCCGCAGAGTTTTGGACCTTCCTGCCACTTTTCCAAAATTTCCCCACAATTTCCCTTCTACTCAAAAATTTTGCTGTCGACGGGGGTGGGGCGGGGGATAGGGAAGGGGGAGGCAGGAAAATCACGAAAAGTCAACCTCTCCCAGAAAGTCAGAAAGTAAACAGAAAGTAAATACGACTCCCTTCCCTCCCACAATGAGCAATACAACCTCCCTCCCCAGGAAGTAAATACGGCCCCCTTCCCTCCCAACAATGAGCAAGTATACCCCCCCCCTTTACAACGTCCGTGAAGCGAGAAAAATCAACTATCAAAAAAATTTTTCCCAGCCCAAATACGACCCCCCCCCTTGTTGGGGAATCCCCAGCGATTGTGTGCCCTGTTACAATCAACAGTGCTATACATACCCTCGTCATCCGGGCAGTTGATTAGGGCGGTCGTCAACGGGCCGCAGCGCGTGCCAGGAACTATTTGCTTTTTCCAGGCTAATTTAGTCATTTTTTCCAACTTTTCACTGTTTTGGCTACTTTTTCCCAGATTAGCAGCTCCTTATCTTCACAAGGTGGAAAAAATGACTAAATTAGCCTGGAAAAGCAAATAGTTCCTGGCACGCGCTGCGGCCCGTTGACGACCGCCCTAATCAACTGCTCCACCGAGATGAACGAGGTATAGCACGCGAAACAGGATATGGACAATCATATATCCTCTCGAACCATTTACATATAAGCCTCACCTCACACAACTGAGTAGCGCGTTCCCCCCCCCCCCCACCCAACCCGCCACTTGACACCCAAGCCACCACCCGATTGCTTTTGCTGAGAACATTAGGTCAGAGATAAATGCTAAAGATTTCAGGCTTAACTGTGTGTATATCAAATGGAATACTCACTTTGTGCATCCTCGGTTCACGGCACAATCGAAAGCGAAGAGAATTCCTGTTGATCGTCTCTCAGGGTGTAGCTGACACCACTTATGCCGTCGCTTTCATGCTCATCGCTGTTCATCGTCTACGACTTGAGGCTGCAGCAATGCGTGAGCTCATTTGGCTAACAAGGGAGGTCTTTCAGGTCGTGGCGCGCTTTTTGGAAATGGTTTGTTGCTTGTTGTAGGGGTCCATACAAGGATTACAAAAATGGGTTTCATTTTTGCTATGCGTTTCTGGGGAGGTCAAAAACTGAGTGAAACAATTTGACAAGAAAGCGCGACCGTCTTATTGGGCTCTGTTGTAGCTGTAACTTTGAGAGTGCTCAATTTATGAGGTGTTCCTTCACTATGTATCGAAAAGAGCAAAATAAAGTCAAAAAGAAAGTGCATGGAGAAAAGTAGTACCGAAGTTACTTCAACGACTCCCGCAACCAGTGTTCCGTGGTCGGCGGATGGCGGAGTGGATAGTGCGGTCGGCTCTTACGGAGAAGGTTTGCGGATCGGATCCTCTTGGCGCCGGATTTTTTGCATTTTTCGGATACTTTATGCGTTTTTCGGATTTCTGTCTCCTTGTGTTCCTGCGTGCGTGGTGATGTATATAACATGGATATATGCCATTTAAGAGCTCATTCTGTACACTCAAACTTCACGAGTCGACCCTACTTAACTATTGCGCTCTCGAAACATTACTGAGGAAACTCTTGCTGAAAGTTGGGCTCCGGGGATGACTGGATACCCTACTCACGAGTACGACACTCATTTTTGACCACGGCGCAGCCTATCGCCGATTTGCTGCAAGAGCATTCTTGCACTGAATTGTTGTCAACCCGCACGCATGTGTCAACCCAGAAAATTTTCGCTGAAAGTCTGTATATAGAGGTTATTGACGGCCCTGATCACGGTTCTGACCTTTATAACTGGCGCCTAGGTCATTTGGCGCCAACATGGCTCTGAATACCCCCCCCTAACTGCGGGTTGGGATGCTGCGAGAATCACTTGAGAAACTACAATGCTGCCTCACTGTGTGCCAAATAAAGTACTTTTTCACCTTGACTTGTATTGTTTTCGATGCAGTGTCGACGAAGGTCTCATTTGCTGTGCATACTCAACATTAGAGATAGAAAAAAGCCTAGAAAAAATGGTTCAAAATCGCTTTTCCCCAGCAAACTTTTCACCCATTTTTTGACCTCCCCAGAAGCGCATAGCAAAAACGAAACCCATTTTTGTGATCCTTATATGGACCCCTACAACATGCAACAAACCATTTCTGAAAAGCGCGCCACGACCTGAAAGACCTCCCTTGTAAGATTCTTTTTTGGTACTATTTCAAGCCTAATGATGAGCTCGTATTGTACGAATTGGCCCTGTATTCCTGATTCTCCTTTAATTTTTCGCATACTTCCCAGGTATCACCTTCGACCTGTCACTAAGTTTCCCAGGAACCAAACCATGGGACCCAAAATTGAGCCGATTAGGACCCAAAGACTGTTCTGGGAGTTCTTCGGGCTTTTGGAATGCATTGTTTAGATGTCGTATTTTCAGTGAGTGCCACTTTTACACGATGGGAATGCGCCTTGCATCCGGCGCTTTTCCTACACGACATTGCCACTCCACTTCTTGGTTTATTACCAATGGCTATGTCACTCAATTTTCTCGTCTCTTCAGTGATCCCGTTATGGTACATGACAGCACGGCACACCTACACAACTTCATTGATAGCAGGTACGTTCTTATGAGGCGCCTTTGATAAAAGGATGCGAAGATTACAAACATTACTTGTGTTTTGGCGCTGCTCTTCATAACCCATACGGGG